ATACATTATCTTATCAAACTCTCCCAACATTTTAAAGTATGTGGTAGTATTGCCATTTAACAGATGAGGACCCAGGCTTGGTGTAGATGAGAATTTTTATCAGGTCCAGAGGCTGAGTGTGAGGGCGACCTGGCTACAGCACTTGTCCTCCCAGAGATCCCTAAGCTTGACTTGGCCAGCGTGGCCAGACAGAGAGCATGGTTGTCCTTCTTTATTGTTGCTCCTCTCCAAAGCTGCACACTTGACCAAAGAAGCTGATGTTCCCTGTGAGAATACACAGTTCAGTGTCAAATCCAGGGTTCAAACCCAGGTACCCTAATTTCAGGTGGAGTCTTTCTCAATGACCCAACCCCATCCAGGCTGATATGATTGTCCATGTCTCTGTGTAAGAACAGTCCCACAATTGTTATTGTTAATGTTTTAATTGCAGTTTGAAGAGAACAAGTTCCTTTCCCTCCTGATTGTGCTGTCAAAAATGGCGCTGCTCTTTTTGAGCAGGAGGTCTCTTTGAGAGGTCCCTATTTTTATTCTGATTTTTATTAGTGAAAAATATCAAGCATTCATAAAAATCGAAAAGACAGCAAAATGAACACTTCATATACTATTCACTTAAAAATTATCATTCTACTATATTTGTGATCATGCTCTCTCTCTGTGTGTATATACATATACCTGTGCAGAGACAGTGTCTGAAATATTTTGAAGTATTTGAAGACATCATGATACTGTACCCCTACTTCAGCGTGCACCTCATGAGAATAAGGAGCACACCACAGCTGGGATACATTAGATCTTACACAATGCTATTATACGGAATAACGTTTACAATAATTCCATCTAATATCCAACACATATTCAGACTTCCCCAGTTGTCCCAAAGAGACAGTTGGCTAGGTTTTTTTTTAACTAGGAAGGAGTCAAGATTCATAGGTTACACTTGAGGGTTGTATGTTTTAGTTTCTTTGAAATCTTCAGTCAGTCTTTCCCTCGTGACGTTGATGTTTTGGAGAGTTCAGGCCGGTTATCTGTTAGAATGCCTCTCGTTCTGAATTTGATTGTTTCCTCATGATCTGTTTAACTTGTCCTTTTAGCTCCTGTGTTTCCTGTAAACTGTATGGTAGATTTAGAGGGTGGCTTAGCATCAGCTTGAACGTTTTTGGCAAGAATACTTTATAAATGGTGTGTTCTGCATATTGCACCACATCGGGAGCACATAATGTCAACTCTTCTCATGATTAGTGGTGATAAATTTGATCTTTTGAGTTAAGGTGATTACACCCAGGTCAATCGTGCAGGCAAATTTTTTTCCTTTGTTACTAGTATGTGATCTTTGACGCTGTGAAAATGCTGTTCTCCAGCAACCTTTCACCTGATGTTTTAGCATCCACTGATAATCCTTGATGGAATGATTTGTGGGAAATAGTGACTTTCGAATTCTGTCATTCCTTCTCTATTTAGCTGCAGCATTCTCCTTTGAAGAGGACTTTTGTTTTTTAACGTCTTTCTCTCGCTTTTCTTAGAATCACTGGATTCAAGGATTTTTACTTACACGATATGTTATAATCATTTACAGTTCTTACTCTTGGTGCTCCACTTGCCCAAATCTGGCCAGTAGAAGCCCGTTTAAGGGGCCCGCAGGTCTTTTTGGCATGCCCATTAGTCCTTGAGCCTTTCCTTGCTTTCTGGAACAAGATGTCTCAGGCTCATCTTATGCCTTCCTCATGCCCCTTTTATTTGGCGGTGGAGTGGCTTTCTGGTCTACACATTCCTGCTTAGATTTATTAGTCCTAGCCCCAGTTGCAAAGAGTTTTAAGGCATGCAATTCTCAGTTTAACCAGCAATGTAATCTGATTGTCCTTCCAAGTACCTTAAATTCACGGTACTTACATTCTTGGAGGATTGCCTTAAGGAAATACAGCCGTTGATTTCAGTAGTTTAAAATCGATTGTGTATTAAGCTCTGCAAACAGCTGCATGTGGTGGTGTCCTGCCTGGGCCCTCATAGAACCGCCAGTGTTGAAGGTTCTGGAAATGTGATAGTTTGTCATGATTAAGAACTCAAGTGCCAAACCAGAGCACTGGGGGTTACATTCTAGCTCTAAAAACAGATAATCATGTAAATTTAGGCACGTTTCCACATGGCTTTTCATTTCCACAGTTGTTTTATTTTTCCATGACCAAGGGACTGTTTAATATTTGTTATTACTTACCAGAAAGGATGTTTTATATTTGTTCTAAGCTGTTGTATATTTTTAAACTACTGAAGTAGTATAGTGGTTTAGATATAAACTACAAATAACATCTCATTATCGCTTCCTGTTAGCTGACTCCTTCACTAACTAGGCTCGATGAGCAAAACTTGATAATATGTATTTTTGGTCACTGAAGAATTGATCTAGGTGTCTCTGAAAATATAATTGTTTTGTTTTATTATGGTTGTTTTTAAACATTCACTTTTTAAAAAGTGTTAACCTGAATTAGATTCCCAGTTAGAAACAATCAGATGTTCCTTCCTTACTGTGATTACATATGACTTGCCGTGTAGTGTGGCTCTATATTGCATAAACAGGTATTTTAATTTGCAATCACTTCAAACTGTGTGAGGTTAATTGCATGTCTCTAACTTGAAAACTTTCCGAAACGTGATGCCAAGATGGCTTATTTCCACCGTCTGTTAACAGGAGACACAACATGCTGACTGAAATTTTGACTAAGGGACAGAGTGAAGAGCCGAAAGAACATTAACTCAAGGTTTTAAACTCTAATATAGAAAGAAAACTGAGAATTTCTAGTAAAAACTTGAAGAATTCTGATACTTATATACAAAAAATTATTTTGTTCTTATTCATCAGTCGTATTTTAGGAGATTAGAGATATATGGAGAATAGTAATTAAATCATCAAAACTATCTACCACCCAAACATGTTTTGACTGGGATGCCTTCTTAAATGACAATCTTTGGTCTACACAGATGTTTAGTACAGGGGTGGTTAAGTCTCTCTCCATTTTGTTGAGAAGAAACCAGAAAAATTTTCTGGAAGAAGGATGACGACGATGATGATTATAACAATCAGTACTTAGGTGCCAGGCACTGTTCTCATTCCTTTATGAATACAAACTCATTTCAGCCTCCTGTATTCCTATGAGTTAGGAACTCTTAGTAGCTCCATGACACAGATGGAGAAACTGAGGCACGCAGAGGTTAAGTGGCTTGTCCAAGGTTGACAGCTAATTACATCAGAATGGGATTTGAAACAGAGTCTTATTCCACAGTCCCTGCTCTAAACTACTATATTATATTGTCTCTGCAAGAAGATAATAAAATTTGCATAATTTAACCTCAAATTGTCAGCTGCTTCTAATGCTACATTTGAGACTATTTTCAAAGTTTCATTATTACTGGTAACTTTTGGCTGCTTACTCACCAGATAATACCTGGTTGACTGAAATTCCCCATGTGTTCAGTTGAAGAAGATTGATGTATTTTTAAATCTGCAAGAAAAAATTATTAGCTCTTACAAATTTGGCTTAAGTAACAAATTCATCATTTCCTTGGTGACAGAGATCAGAGTTCTGGTCCATACCCCCATTCCATAGTAGCTAACATTATGCCTTATCTATAATATGAACAGATACCAAATCTATATTCTAACTTTTGCTGAATGTTCACTAGGAAAATCTGACTTTCAAGTGTGACCTATTAGAAGATGCAAATATGTCCATGAAATAAGATTCAAAATTGAAGTTACAGGAACCCTGTTCAAAATCAACGTTGTAAAATTTGTGTAATTGTCGTGTGTCACATACAGCATCTATCATAGTTTCTTACTGTAATTATACACAAACTGCACTGTAGCATTAATATAAATCTAAATTAAGGAGCAGAACATGGACTTAGAGTAGATGAAGCTATCTCTTCCCAGTTCTGTGACTTTTGCTAAGTTACTAAACTCTCTGATCTTTGTTTTTTCAACTCTAAAATGGAAGTAATGTTTCTACTTCTAGATTATAACAGCTGCACAAGCTTGCGCTTGTAATATTGGTGCTTTGCTTACTTACTACAAATCACCAACAGTGAAAGTTTCCCCAATCTGCTGCCTCTGTCCCCAAATAAAATTGTTTGCATTTTGCCATCTTTTCATCATTTAGGCTTACAGATAACATTTATATAGGACACCTGCTTTTTAAAAAAAATCCCTCATTTAGTTTTATATTAAACCATATTAAAATTTACTTTTTATAATGCTTCTTTGGGGAACAAATTTCTATTAAAAGGATGAAACAAATTTTATGGCTTTTTCACTGTGATGATAACTTGAATTAATTGGATGTAAGTTGTATTTTTTATTTATACTGTGTACACTCTTGTGGAAATTTTTAAAATTGTGACTACCCGAAAGTTTGCTGTTTCAGAGATACAGCATTTTGAACCTCAATGAGAATTGAGTTGATTTTATGTGTTAAAATATTAGAGATATTCACAGATGTAATAAATCAGAGAAATAACTGTTCACTCTACATATATATGTATACTCTTTTTCTAACACTTCAAATTAAATCCACCGTAAAATGTCTAGATAAATTTTCATTTTTAGAAACATCCTACTGTTTCAGAATCTGCATGGGGTTTCAGTGTTCTTATAAATCTTTTCTTTTCCTGCTAGCCGGGTACTTCTGAGTCACACCCCCTGGTTGCTGTAGTAATATATCTTGGATACTGCAGTGTATTGCTCTCTCTCATAGTTACACTTAAGTTGTGGCTTTAGGTTTCTCATTATTTTTCACTCTTTTTAACCATTATATCAGCGTGCATCATTCGTAACACTGAGCAACCTCTGAGAGATGTTAGAGATTTTGATTTGAGTTGAAGTAAAAATAAGTGAAGGACCTCTACCGTACATCTCCAAACGCTTACATTTTAATTCAGGTGTTTCTGTTGTAACCATGCAACCTCCCGTGGTAAATATGACTGACTGCTCTTTTTTCTTACGCCCTTTTAAGCAAAGTAAAGCAGCGGTTCGGCTGAAAGAAGACATGAAAAAGATAGTGGCAGTGCCACTCAATGAGCAGAGGAATTCTACCTATAAAAAATTGTTTGGAGTCAGTCTCCAAGAGCTTCAACAGCAGGGGCTCACTGAGAATGGCGTTCCAGCTATAGTGGGGAATATCGTGGAGTACTTGACAGAGCATGGTAAGGCGAGTCATGTTTTCGTTCTGTTGTTTGTACAGTCCTCTCAGGGAGAAGAATGTTTTTGTGTGAATTACTTTATAATGCATGATTAGATTATTCCCTAAAACACCTTAATTAGAATGTCGAACTATTGTGTAATACATTTTTCCCTTATAAAAGGATATTAAGAGCATTATTACTGCTTGACGTTATTTTGACAGTAATAATTCAGTTCACCATGGAACAAGCACGTTAATTATTGAGGTTTCTAGTTCGGAATGATTCCTAGTTTTAAGTGGTAAAATACACTGTTCTAATATTAATGGTGAGTTCTCTTGATTGAACAAATTCCAACTGATAGTCAATTTTTTAATGTAATGGAAGACTTTTTGGGTATCTTTTTCAGCGGAGGTCGTTCATGAACTTATTGGATGCCTTAATTGCCTTCATAAGCTCAGTGGAGATACCAAAAAGAGTATGATATATAGCCTATTATGGGGGGGGTCATTTACTTTTGGAGTGATAAAATTAAGTATATGAAACAATTGAAGAGTAACTTAGTACATTGCATGCTAAAAAGATCAATTCTCTCTCTGTTATTGAGAGCCATGTTGTCTTACAGCGTTTTTATGATTTTATTTAAAATAAGACTTAAAAACTTGGGTAATTTGAGAGAATATCTCCTACATTCATGCTTTTCAAACTAGGACAGTATCATGAGAGAACTCCAAACTATATAATAAATATCAATAAACTTTAAAACATTTGGAAAGGAAATATTCTGAGGGAAAGGCTTGTAATTTTCATTTTCTATAGTGAAACAACATTTTTAAACTAAAACAAGAGTCAGAGTAGAATATAAAATTTGTGGGAATTTTTAAAGGTAGAACTTTAAAGAAATTCTCTACTCTGTGCGGTTAGCTCCCGGCCCCGTGCCTCCCACGATTACGAGTCCATGCCCTCTGCTAGGAAGAGTCCTTCGCTGCAGATGCGTGAGGAGCACAGAGCATCTGTTCCTCTGTAGGAACGCGTGTCGGCTTGTGACAGGGACTGTGTGGCAGACAGTTCAGAACTCAGAGGGTCAGGTGCTTTGTGTTAATTGACACAACAGCCTTTTGCTCAGGCTACTAGGTACCTAGATGACAAAATGATATTTGGTTCTGAAAACTCAAGAGCCAGGCTTGCATTCTTACCTTGCGGGAGCTATCTCCTTATTTTTGGAGGAAGATAAGCTGCAGAAGGGCAAGATTCTTAGAGAACAGCTCTGGCTTTGTTCAAATACTTTAAACAGGTTAAACGCAAAAGGTGTTCTGTACAGCATGGCGGGAAGATGGGACCTGGGCCTGCAAGGTTGTGCAGTCAGATGTTATTAAGTTAGAGCTTTGACAGGGCTCACTGGCACGCGCAGTGTTGAGTAAAGCTGTATCCTACCGATTTAGGTACAAATGGATCTCCAGGTAACTCATTTAATCTCTTACATAGGGTTGTTCAGTATCCATTTGGATGCAAAGTGTGACCACCTAAAATAGTGTTTTGGTTTTGACATAATCAGTAGTCTGATCATTTACCCCACAATGATTGAATAACAGCCTCTTGAGATTTCTCTTCTGTAAAATCATTTTCATTTTTAATTTTTTTAAATTATTGAATAGTTAATATGTTTATGTGGTTCACAATACAGAAGTGTATACAGCGAACAGCCTCTCCCTCCAAAGCCTGTCCCCTGACTGTTCATTTCCCCTCCCAGAAACAATATTATTGTACTAGTTTCTGATATGTTCTTACAAAGATATTTGAATATATAAGCATATATGTATATGTTTTTTTCCTTTTAACATAAATATAGCACACCATGCACACTATTGTGAATCTTTTTTTAAAAATCACTTAACAGTATCTTTTGGAGATTGTTCCATATTACGTAAAGAGCTTTACTCATTTAATTATCTTTTTCTCCAGCACACTGTCCCACCGTATATATGTATCATTTCTTTAAGCAGTCACATACTGATGGGCACTGAATTGTTTCCTGCTTTTTACTGTCTACAAGCAATAATTCAGTGACTAAACTTTAACACGTGTCATTTGAAGCACTGTAACTGTATCTATAACTTTCTGGAAGTGGGCTGCTGGGTCAAAGGATATGTGCATTTATAATCAACTCTAGAGGAGTTGAACCAGTTTATATTCACACCATCAATATGTGAAAACTTTGGCAAAATTTGAGTTAGGGATTGGTTTTATTCTACCTCTTCTTCGTATACCCTTAGTTATACTTTAACAGGGTAGACATTCAGGTAAATACTTTAGTGGCTTAATCAGCCATTCTTGACTTGGGATGTGAAATAGAATCACTAGTGGAATCTTTTCAGAATCCCCGTGCGTGGGCGATACCTCAGATCGCCTGAATCAGAATCGTGACTGGGCAAGCTAGGGTAGGGCACCTACCCTGTATTTTGAAAGGCTGTATAGTTAATTACTATGTAGACAGCCTGAAGCTCCTCCTCGTGTTTGAAACTATCATGTTAATAAACCGAAGCGCCTCTGTGAGTTTGAAGGGTGGTATGTAGTTGGAGGGCAAGATACTTCAATGAGTTTGATTTTATTTTTCTGTAGTCTTTTTAAGTCGGTGAATATTGTGCACCTCTGATACAGTAGGCACTCTGTCGGCTGTGGGACGTGGGCATGATTGGTCGTGTAATTCAGCCATAGGTGGATATTTTGGTCGTACTTCGTTGTTTAACATAAATGCAGGCATTTAACAACTTGACATGAGGGAAAACTCTTTATTAAGAAATTTTAAAACAGAAAGAGTTTATTAAAGCCTATATCAAGGCCTTTCAGACTTTGGACATTTTTTCTTTAAAAAAAATATTCTTCTGTTTTCCATTCGAAGGAAAATATTAGGAGTTATGGGGCATCTCATCTTTACACTATTTTAAAACAACTCATCTTGCTGATGGAGTTACTGGATTCCTTCTCTTTTGCATGAAGATACTGTGGGTCATGCCAGTTAAATAGTGCAGGATTCTCCACTCACCACCAGGTGTCAGCACGCACTTAATATTGTCATGCTGCTCTCTATGCCAGAGTGTGCCGCTTAGGGAAATTCTGACTTCAGGCATATTTAGTTTCTGATGATGTATTTACACTATTTTGAAATAAATATTTCAATTGAACCAAAAAATAGCTGTTAATGGTACTAGCTGTTATTAGTGTATATAATTCTTTCATTTGTAAACCATTGTTAAGTTCCTGTTTCTCGATTAACTCATAGCTCCTGAAATCAAATATGACAGAATCTCGGAAATGTATGAGAGTAACTCCAAGTAGCCTTCTACATACCTCTTTCTTCTGAACATTTCCATTATAATCATCGTTTCCTGAAAATTTAGAGTAGGAAAATTTAGAGATTATATAGTCTGGTAAGCCTTATATGGGTGTTGGATATATTATAAGTTCATAAGGGGCTTTTAAAAACTTTCCAGATTCTTTATCCTAGAGTGCAATATAGTGATGTCCCAGGGTAAACTTCCCCTGCTTGAAAATTGCCAAGTATCGTAAGAGTTGTTTGGGTGAGAGATGTTCCTGAGGGAAGAGAGTTGTGCAAAGAAATGGTATGGGAACACAAAAAAATGATTGAGAAGCATTGACTTTAATGACTTCTGTTTATACTTTATCTCTCCACTAGTAATCCCACTAGTAAGGTATAGTGGGATTAGGAACCTTAAAGACCAAAGCCAGTTGTTGGAGCTGGGTAGTTATTTTGGAATAACTGGAAGTATATTTATTTGAGGGAAGCGTCAAAAAACCTCATTGGAAGAGACAACCTAAGGTCAAATCTAGAAAAGCACTGTGAAATCAGACCCAAGGGGCATTTGCTGGGCCAAAAACAGGCTCAGGAGCTGGAGAGATACAGGACTATGATGCAAATTCTAAATTTTCAGGATTTGGCTTTTGACCAGGGATGGGATTCTCCTTTATTGGGTGCTGTCTGCTTCATGCCAGTATACCTTTCTGAAGTTACAATGAAGATTTGTAGAGTAGAAGAAACAGACCTGAAAGCCTTAAAAATGACTAAGTGGAAGCCTCCCAGTAGTAACGGATACTCTGCAGTGTTAAAGGGAATGACATACCACATTAGTTATCTGTTGCTGCATAACGGATTACCCCAAAACATAGTAGATTAAAACAATAATGTTTATTATCTCACAGTTTCTGTGGGTCAAGAATTTAGCCACAGCTTCGTTGTATCTTCTGTCTTAGGGTCTCTTTTAAGATTGCAGTCATGGCGTTGGCCGGGGCTATGCATATCAGGACTGGGGAAAAGTTCACTTCGGAGCTCCTTCACATGGTTGTTGGCAGGATTCAGTTCCTTGTTGGCTGTTGACCCGATGGTCTCAGTTACTCACTGGCTGTTGTCCAGAAACTGCCCTCAGTTCCTTGCCACGTGGACTTCTCCATAAGTTAGCTAGCAAAATAAATAGCAGCTGATTCATCAGAGTGAGCAAGCAAGAAGAGCTGCAGAGAGGGAGAGAACAGGAGCAAGCATGATGGGCATCAGTCTTTTGTAACCTAGTCTCAGAAGTGAGATTAGAACCTCATGACATCGAGTTGCTATATTCTCTTGGTTAGAAGCAAGGCACTGGTCCAGCCCACACTCAGAGGGAGGTGATTACACATGGGTGTGGATACCAAGAGGCAGGGCTTGTTGGGGCCATTTGAGAAGCTGTCTGCCACACATACTGAATGGTCTCTCCTCTATTACCTGGTGCCCTGGCCGTACTGATTGTCAGATATTTTTAATATCTCTGATTTCACAGATTTTTGTCAAAATAGCTTAAATTGGAGCTAAAATGTCAACTTTTGATATTCATCATCTTCATAGCCAAGTAAACATCTTACCAGACTACGAATTCAATGAGGATAATGGTAGTGTTCAAATTTTTTTCTCACAGTTGATTTTTTTTAACAGTGCTAGTTACTCATTAAATATCTGTTGAATTAAAGAGCTCATAAAATGTTTTATCAAATTACAAATTAAAATGAAATTAGCTTCCTTTTTCTTTAGAAAGAGCAATACAATTAGCAGGTAAGATAAACAGCAAAGGCTAATAAAACAAACACCTCCCATCTAAATGACTCTAATAGTCATCACTGCTCATGTCATTGCTAAAATTCACCATTAGGCTCTCAAAAGAAGAGTGGTGAGTTGTGTCGTTGGGTTACTCTTTCGTAGAAAGATTGTTTCTTATCCCTTCAACATTCCTCCGTGGTCTGGCTCACTTGCTTACAGGCATGCTGTCTCTTCAAACCCAGCAAACGGGGCTGGAATCATTACCTTCCACCCTCACCCAGCTCCCACCCCTCACCCCCACATCACCTTATCCTTTACAGTGCTTTTTCCTGGATTCCTAGCTTCAGACCTTAAAGTTGCCTTTCAACCTTTGCTCTTTCTTACTCCCTGAGTTACCAAATCATCTTTGTTCTCTCCTTTTCACCTCCTTCCACCATAATCTCTGTCTTCCTGTCTTACAATAGAATGTTCTCTCCCTAGGGCAAGCCCTCTGCCCTCTCCATTCTCAACTTCTTAGCTGGCTAGATCTTCCTTAATCCTTGATTATATTGTGTCTTATCCCCTCACACACACTTAATACTCCAGTGATAAAGTCTTCACTCTTTAACCTGACATTCATGGCCCTGTCCCTTTCTTCCATTTTATTACTCCATTGCTCTTTGGCCTAAATGGTTCGTATTTTCATCTGTCTACCTTTATGCTGTCCTGTCTCTGATTCTCAATAATGTATTTGTTCCTCTTTGTCAGGGATAGATCAAGGTTTTGTGGGTCCTGGTGCTTAATCTTTTTGGGGCCCTCTTTAAGAAAAACAATGCAGAATTAAGGATACAGAATTAGGGACAGAGCATTGGAAAGGGCTCTGATAAATGAGGGCCATGACTTAAACTCCATTAGCTTCACAGTGTATCAGCCCCAGCCCTTCCATCTTGCTTATGCTTTAGCCACAGATGGCTTGAAGGAGCCAGAGGCTCCTGCCTGGAGTCTTGTCTGCTGGCCCCAGCCAACACTAATATCGGCCATTAATTGGCTGAAGACAAGGATCTTGTTTTATACTCCTTTATAGTCTCACAGAGTCTTATACTTTGAATCTAATGATTACTAAAGAAATATTACTTCTTGATTATTACAAAGGTAATCACGTATAGTTAAGCAGTTTCAAAATAGTTCTCAAAATGCTAAGCTGCTATCGGAGCTCAGGGTAAGGTCCTGTGATGTATTGTAGAAGATTATATGAATGAGATTTCTTTGTAGAGTAGTATATATTCAATGTTTATATATGTCCTAAACTTATTTTCAGAGGTCAGCTTTCATAACAATGGTATATGATCTTTTTAGTTGATACGTAGTAAATATGAAAATTTTTTATTCTAAGAAACACTTTTGTAAAATGTAAAAATCTTCCAACACTTGATAAGGATTTTCTGAATATAATAATTTACTGAGATTTATTTGTCTATTTTTAAAGATTGGCACCTGAGCTAACAACTGTTGCCAATCTTCCTTTTTTTTTCCTGCTTTTTCTCCCCAAATCCCCCCAATACTTAGTTGTATATTTTAGCTGTAGGTCCTTCTAGTTGTGGTTTGTGGGAGGCCGCCTCAGCGTGGCCTGATGAGCGGTGCCATGTCCACGCCCAGGATCCGAACCCCCAAAACCCTGGGCCGCTGAAGCGGAGCGCGGGAACTTAACCACTTGGCTACGGGGCTGACCTCTGAGATTTATTTTTGTTGCTATTATTTTTTAGAGTTTGTATCTGTTTGAGAAACTTCTGTTTTCAGTGTGTCCACTTTCCTGTTCCAGGACTCAGCCAGGAGGGCCTTTTCAGGGTGAATGGCAATGTGAAGGTGGTGGAACAGCTGCGCCTGCAGTTCGAGAGCGGAGCGCCCGTGGAGCTGGGGAGAGACGGCGACGTGTGCGCGGCGGCCAGTCTGTTGAAGCTCTTCCTGCGGGAGCTGCCGGAGCGGGTGATCACCGCAGCTGTACGACCCCGGCTCATTCGGCTCTTCCAGGGTTCGTACGGTAAATCCTTCTGGGAAGTAAAGCAAGTTTATTTTTCAGTTAAAACTAAGCTTTTAAATATTAAATATTTTAAATGTAAAGATTACAATAAGCTTTTAAATATTTGTAGTCTCTCTGTAAGTACCAACTTGCTACTTCACTCGGCCCTTGTCTTCTACCCTAAAATAATACTAAAGCGATTACAAAATACCATTATTAAGTGTAATTTCTAAGATTATTGGCAAATGAAAACTTAAATAACAGTCTTGTAAAGTCCTGATGCTGGGGCCGGCCCGGAGACACGGTGGTTAAGTGAGCACGTTCCGCTTCTCCGCGGCCCCGCGTTTGCCAGTTCAGATCCCGGGTGGAGACATGGCACCACTTGGCAAGCCATGCTGTGGCAGGCGTCCCACATATAAAGTAGAAGAAGATAGGCATGGATGTTAGCTCAGGACCAGGCTTCCTCAGCAAAAAAGAGGAGGACTGGCAGTAGTTAGCTCAGGGCTAATCTTCCTCAAAAAAAAACAAAGAGTCCTGATGCTTTTGGGTGGAAGCAATTCTTTTCTCACTAGTGCCTGCTGTAGAGGAATGAAAATAAGACATTAAATTCTATGTAGGAAATATCAGTTAATTAATTGTATCTGGTTAGTGACCTTTGAGACTGAAAAGTCACTGGTGTGCTTTCTTTTTCTCGTTGGGAAGATTGAGTCCTAAAATAATTGTGTTCATTTTGCACAATTGAGGTAAAAATTGATTTTTGATTGTATAATGAAGTGATTTTAAGTGAAGAAACCTCATTTTTAAAGGTAACAATTATAGGCATAATCGTTACTGAGTTCTCCCTCCTAATATGGTAAGAAAAATGATTTAGCCTTGAAAAACAATTTCTTTCCTTATTTTTTGCCAAGTTAGAGTGAAAAGGGGAAAATGCGTGTAGCAGTGTTAGCTACCAGATTAAGAAGGATGTTACTTAAATCCACATTCTTTTAAAGCAGTAGTGGTGTAACTACACTCGAGAAAGCTCGATGTTGTATGTGTATTTTATTGAAAAATAATGATAAAATGTTAAAGCAAAGGTTGCAGAACCATTTGTCTGTGCTCTTAAGCTTTCTATATCAGTAAGTGACATTGGTAAGTGACATGTTTGAGGCTTGTTCATTAGAAACAACTTTTTCATGTCTACGTGTATGAGTATTTCAAGGACGTAACCATTGCTCCTATTTAAATGATTCTTACAAAGAATATTTTATCCATGTCATAGGGACATGAATTTTTTTAATTTATTTGTTTATTTTGTGAGGAATAGTGGCCCTGAGCTAACATCTGTGTCCATCTTCCTCTATTATATGTATGGGACACTGCCACAGCATGGCTTGATGAGTGGTGTGTAGGTCTGTGCCTGGGATCCCAACCCGCAAACCCCAGGCTGCTGAAGCAGAGTGCACGAACCCAACTACTACACCACCAGGCCGGCCCTGGGACATGAAACTCTTAAGATAAAATTTTAAAAATCACTTTTAAATAATTGCTACAAAAGTGGTTGAAGATTTAAACATTATGTGCTTAGAGCCAGCCCTGGTGGCCTAGCGATTAAGGTTCGGTGCACCCTGCTTCAGCGGCCTGGGTTCAGTTCCCAGGTGCGGAAACACGCACTCGTGTCAGGAGTCATAGTGAGGCGGCAGCTCACGTAGAAGAACTAGAAGGACTTACAACTAGAAATTACAACTGTGTACTGGGGCTTTAGGGAGGAAAAAAAAGAGAAAGATTGGTAACAGATGTTAGCTCAGAGTGAACATTTTCCCGGCCAAAAAAAAGTTATAAATAAATAAATAGGTTTCCAAAGGTCTACAGTTAATGGGGAATAAAGTTATAAAAAAAAATTGTGTGCTTCATACAAAATATTTAGTAACCAAATATTTAGTATTACTGAGAATAAGAAATATTACTTAATACTAATATTAATATTTGTGAATATTTGTGAATTTTAAAAGTTTTTATCGTGTTTCCTAGAATAGCTTTCATTTGATAACCATAGTAAGAGTAGCTTTCATTATTTTTGTTAACGTTTACATTATAATAATATTTTGTTATAATTTGTCTTCTTTGTAAATTACCTTCTCATTCATAACGTGTTTCCTTGGCAGCCAAAAACGTTGATATGCATCATAAAAAGCAAGCAGTATCATTCTGAATGTAAGACTGGTTATGTAGTCAGTCATATGGGTTGTGTGATTATGCACAAATAACAAGTTCTGAATGGGGCAAACTAATTTTCACTTTATTAGTAGTAATTCTCTCATTTTCAGAAAACCCCTGGGGCTAGATGTGAGATATTTCGTTAAAAGCAGTATTAATGGAGTACCTACTAGTTACCTAAGATGCTAAGTAGAGGGGATAAAGTATGCTTTAGGTGTCAGACAGCATAGCTTCTGTAAAATACTCTTCTCTCTGTAGTAATTCACATGGAAGATAAAGAGCCGCTGTGCTTCAGCTGGTTTATCCCGTGAGCGGGTCTCCTCCTGTGGGGGTGCGCGCTGCAGCTGCTCACTCTAGAGCCGAGGTGGCGGGCGGGCCTCTTTACAGATGCAGTAAAAGCAGATGTTACACTTGGCTGGTTATAGCATTTTCATCTCTCCTTTTTCTACTAGACATTATATATAATAAAATTGTTTTGCTATGATTTCCTTAGTAAAGACTACCCTGCTTTCATATTTCAGTCCTCATAATAGATTTTAAATAGCTTTCTTGATATTCTCTCACAACTCAGTGCCAGATTTCTTTCTAAAAATAATGTTGTTATGGGCCTTCAAATTATACCCTGTGTAAAGAGCAAGCTATTTCATAACTGAATATACTTAACATTTTTCAGATCAAGATCCTCCCTTCCATGCTTAGAAGGATGGAATTCTGGAGCCTCAGCTAGTTGCTTTTTCAGACGTGAGCTAAACCAAGACTGCCACTGAGGGGGGCAGCTCCATGACCTAGTGGTTAAGTTCAGCGTACTCTGCTTCGGCAGCCTGGGTTCAGTTCCTGGGCATAGAACTACAGCACTCATTGGCAGCCATGTTATGGTGGTGACCCACATACAAAATAGAGGAAGATTGGCACAGATGTTAGCTCAGGGCTAATCTTCCTCAGCAAAGAAAAAAAAAAGAAAAACCCTGACACTGAGGACAGTCTGGATGCTGCCTGTAAACATCCCTGCTGCTCTAGATATCTTTGATCACGTAGACCAACAGTGACCCTCTGGGTGGAAGAACACCACTTAGGTTCTTTCATTTTTATAACAAATGATCAACTTTAGACTTGTGTAGTGTCTAAAGCTCTGAGATGATATATTTGTTAAGTTGGCACACCAGTATATCTGCATACCAGGTATTTATCAGAAACTTCTATCTGAAGCTGATGTCTTCCGGAACCTTTTGCTTCTGTCAAAGGCCTAATTTAGACAATTCATATTTAAGAGGGAAGACTCCAGAGCCCTTCAGTGTTCACTCTTGCCTGTTGTCACATTACACTTGTCTGATTGCAACAATTCGCCTTCCTTAACTGAGGTTTCCAGTATAATTATCTCAGCTTGGCTGTATCCCATGACTTATGATCTTTTATTATCTCAGTGGGCCAGTAATATATCTATTTTTTATTTTAATAATCTCAGGTGTGTTTGGAGAATAGATAGAAATTGCAAATGAAAAGATTTTAGGATAGGATTCATTTAATTTAGGCTTAACTAGAAATCCCTTTACTTGAATGCTCCCTATTGAAAAATCTTCTATAATATAAATGCAAATATTTCCACTCATAATTGAGTATTTTTATTTGACGAGTTAGATTGGATCAGTCCATCAATATTTATTTAGTACGTTTTACTTAGACACTGGATGGTACTGTGAAAGAAAAGGTTCAACATTCTGACTTGACGGATTGTGTGGTTTAATTGAGGAGGTAGGATGTATGTGGTGTGCATTCCACGGTACTTCAAATGAGTGATGAGAACGTCCAGTCAGTGGTAACAAGGAGAGGGGGAAGTCAATCTGGATTATAAAAGTAAAATTGGGGTACATAAGATTAATTTGGATGGAGACAAAAATCTTCTAGGCGAGTAAAGAGCACGAGCAAAAACACTGTCAGTGTAAGACAGGAATGTCTGACAGAGCTGTCCATAGCTGCAGGAGACTAGTGAAAGATGTATTTTAAAACATAGGCTGAGACTGGATGGTAGAGGGTCTTGAATGTTAGGCTAAGGAATTAATATTTATAACAGCAAATTTTTGAAGAAAAAAGTTGTATGATGGAAGCAATACGTTAGGCAGTGCTGTGTAAGATTTTCAGATATGAAGGTGTGCTGGGAGCAGGGAGAGCATCTAGAAGACGGGCAGAAGTCTAGGTCTTGGTCCTGAGGACCTGTATCTGATAAACAGTTGGCAGTGGAGATTTTTTAATTGTGGTAAACTGTATATGACATAAAACTCACTTAACCATTTTTTAAGTGTACAATTCAGTGACATTAAGGACATTCGTTATGTTGTACAACCATCACCACTGTCCATTTCCAGAACTTTCTTATCATCTCAAACAGAAACCGGTAATGAAATTTTAAAGGAAAGTTACTAGAGATGTTAGAAAGAAAACATGAACAGAACATGGCGGCCGATAATAGATGATGAAAGTAAGAAGTGAGAGTTCGGGAGGAGCAGTGTGGTGGCGCTACCCTGAGGCTCCCATACCTTTGAGGCCGGCAGAACCAAAATAGGCACGAGGGCAGAGGGCATTTGTCAGACTCTTGCCAATGGGAATGAGTATAGAAATTAAGGAAGGAGTTGTAAGGCAAGGATGAAGCAGCACCAGGGAGAGCTCCCTGCAAACTGTGCTTTGACCAAGGCTATTGTTCTTTTGTCTTCAGTAATTCAAATCTTTTCTGGCTGTACCTAGGGTCGGGCCTTTAGGTTTTAAAATGCTTCAGCTTGTCAGACCTGATCTTTTGTCCTGAAAGGAAGAATCACAGTCTTCAACTTCCCAGG